TGTTTTCTTTTGAATTGGTAGTGTCGGACGGATTTGATGAGATGTGGATGTCTACTTCTGATATCTCTTTGTAATCAGGAAACAGAAATTAGCACTCTAGGAAACAATCTGTCTCATTCTAATGTAAATATCTAAAATAAATCAGATAAATTGTATCTGAATAGTTTACTTCCTCTCATCAGCTATGAAAGGAGTCTAGGTTTTAGTGTCCAGAGTCTAGTGCAGATTTCTCATGCTAGATGAGACAGCTCGCACCACGAATGCTCATACTTTTGCCATCATCAGCGTGGATTGCTGCAGTATACCTGACTACAATTCATGTTGGGATGAGATTAATTTGCCCTTAACCTATGTGTATTAAATTAAAATATCTATAACTGAGTTATTTGTGCAAGGCTCCAGTTCTGCTGGCAGAACTGAGAGCATCTCTGCAAGCATCTCTAAGAGGGCAAGTTAGCTTATCCTGAAATAAACTTCGGACATTATTTCAGATGCCAAAGTAAGGTGAGATAAATAAACGCAAAATAAAGAGAAAGTGACGCTTACGGTGCTTAGTGCTAGGACATAAGATGGGAACTCTGTAGTACTCAGTTCAGAAGTGCTATAGCTAGGTTTTATTTGCTAAAATTGGGTTTTGCATAATCTGATACCACATCTCTGCTTTCAGAAGCGTAGTACCTTAAGTGAACTTTAAGGCTAATAATCATCCCACTAGCTGCAATTTCCAGGTATTGGTACGCTACCTAGAGTTCAAAGTTTGTTTGTTTTCTTAGTCTTCCATGGCCCTGTGGCCTCTAGCACATTTTTCTCTTCCCTGGACGTGTTATGTAGCACGTATTTTGGGGGTAGATTCAGGCTGAGATTGTAATTATCCTACATAGTTGTGGTCTGGCCTGGTATTATCCATCACAATACTGTCATGTGCTGGGCATTGACAACATACTTAGCTATTTTTTATGTGATATAACTAGCACATTGGGTAGTTTTCTTGTAGTATTAAGGAAAACTTGCCAAAGCTTTCAGCACAAGAGTTCCCAGAAGTTTGTTTATGTAGCAGGGGGGGCTGCTTCGTGCAGGCAAGCGGTCTGAACAGCGTGTTCTTTACAGGTCCTTCTTTGCTATAGGGGAAGAATAGGGTGAAGTAAATGACCTGCAAAATATCACAGCGTTACAAAATAATAGCATGGTCTAATCCTTTCACCTCATTTCAGCTTCCCGTTCCAGTCCTCGGTCACGGTTTACAAGACACTGAACTCAAGGTCCGCTTGCAACTTCAGCTCCCTGGCGTCAGCCGCAGCATCCCACCTTCAGACTCTCATTTCCCTTACCAAATGTAGGAGCGTGCTCTCATCTGTTTGGCGAAGTTTTGCTACTCAGCTGTCACTCCTCTTAACTGCTGCTTTTTAAATCGCCTCAATCCTGTGGCAGCTTATTTGTGCCCAGCCGTGCCGCGTGGGACACCTTTGGTTTCCTTCCCCAGGCTGCAACTCCCTTGCTCGATTCTCTTTCAGACAAACATGCCACGGTGCTTGGAGATTACTTGATTTCCGCACTTAAAAAGACTTCTATAGCATTACAATGGTGACCTGCTGGTTGCCTATAAAAGAATGCTTTTCTCAGCAGCTTGTGCTGAGCACATTGTGTTGTCCAGAAAGTCCTACCCAGTGGAGTGCAAAGAGCAGACCCTGACAAAGCTGAGTATTCATGCTTGTTACATCCCTAAAGTCCCCACCAGGGAAAAAAATTAAATGGAGAGGATTCAAGTAAAACAGTTGAAAATGGAGAGAGGAGGAAAAAAAGGCAGTAAATAAAGGGTGCTGAGCAGAGCAGCAGGGTGTATGGACAGTTGATTAAAAGCCTATCTGCCACGGTTTTGCCTGTTCCAATTACAAAATTGGGAAATTTCCTCATTCAAAGATGCAAATTCTTTACTTGTGAAATCCCTGTTTCCATACCTGATGAAGGAAAGTGGGTAGCAGTCCTTGCTAGTACCGTGCTAGCCTCATCAGTGACCTGTAAAAGTTATCTTGTGTCTGTCAAGGAGCTGCAGGTTCTGCAGGGTCAGTTCTATAAAACCCGTAAAGTCTGTATCTGTCCTCATTTTTTTCTTATGAGTTTTAATGTGGTTTTTTTTCTCCTAACCCCCTGTTAGTTGTTTTTTTTAGGCTTGCCATTTCAGATTACAAACCCTAGGTACTCTCTGGAAGACCGCATTTCCCAGGCACCTAATTTAGTACGGATGGGATCAATCACTCTTTAGAGGCACACTTTGTTAAGTGATGTAGAGATGCATGGCCACCTCCTTCAGCCGTCCTGGCCCAGGACCCTCCTGCCCAGCTGCTGGACCCCAGCCCACGGCCCTGGGGTCTCTGCCCACGCTGGGGGACATGGCTGCCACTTTCCCATGTGCAGGTTCAACCGGTAGCAAAGCTGAGCATGTATCCCAGAGGCACGCACACAATTAATAGCTCTTCAATTAGTGTGAGCGGTGGGGTTTGTTTCTTGTCACGCTCTCCATGTTTGCTTTGTCAGGTCTGCGTCTCTGTATTTTGTTTCTGATTTCCCCTCTTTTTCCTATAGTTTCCTAACCGACAAGGTCCCCAATCACAAAACCTCACTGGAATAGACATTCGCACGCTCCCACATGCCCTCATCAGTGAGTGTGACTGACCAGGTTTGGGTCTGTTTTGGGGTTGTGTGGTGGGGTCTTGGTAGCCAGGGAGGGGGCCACAGGGCCGGCTCCTGTGAGAAGCTGCTGGAAGCTCCCCCGGCTCCAAGCCGGACCCGCCTCTGGCCCAGGCCGAGCCCCTCAGGGACAGTGGAAACACGGGTGGGAGAGCAGATTTAAGAGGGGAAACCTGCAGGGAGTGGGGGATTGGAACGGGAGAGGAACCCCTCTGTGGGTACCGAGGTCAGGGAGGAAGGCAGGAGGGGATGCCCCCGCAGCCCGCGGTGAGGCGGCAGGCTGTCCCCCCCAGCCCCTGGAGGGGAGCGGAGGCCCCCCAAGATGGCCGCCACTCCATGGGGAAGCCCGCGCTGGAGCAGGCTGGGACTGAAGGACTGCAGCCCATGGGAAGGGACCCACGCTGGAGCAGGTGGTGGAGGACTGTCTCCTGCGGGAGACACCCCACGGCGGAGCAGGGCCCGAGTGCGGAGTCCTCCTCCCCCTGAGGAGGAAGGAGCGGCAGAGACCAGGGTTGAGGAACTGACCCCAGCCCCCATTCCCTGAGGAGGGAGAGAGAACTGGGAATGGGCTTGAGGTAGGAAGGAGGGAGGGATGGGGGGAAGGCGTTCTAAGATCTGGTTTTACTTCTCATTGTCCTTGTTTTGATCTGATTGGTAGTAAATGAAATTGCTGTTGTTTCTTCCCCAAGTTGAGCCTGTCTTTTGCCCATGCCCATAAGTGGTGAGTGATCCCTCCCTGTCCTTGTCTCGACCCACGAGCTTTTCTTTATATTTTCTCCTCGTCCCACCGTGGCCAGGGGGGGAAGGAGTGAGCGAGCAGCTTCGTGGTGCTTTGTTACCAGCTGGGCTTAAACCGTGACAGGTTCCCATCACTGCCTCCCTTAGCATTTGCATCAGGTTTGTGTCCCTGTATGTTCTTGTTCAGGCTTCCTCCTTTGCTTATTATCCTTTGTCGCATCCAGAAAGGTCCTTGACCCAGATACCTTTAAAGGAGCAGGCACTCACCCTTACACACATCTTTCTCTGTCTCTAGAGGCAGCCTAGGTGGTTCTTATAGTCCAGACATGAAACTTTTGGATGGCTGAAGTTAAGTTGGATGAATCCAGCTGTGTGCCTAAACTACTTCACTTAATCGATTCTCATGCTACTAAAGGTGCCTCATTGGGAATGAAGTCAGCCATTTCTGGAGCTTGTCATATTAGTGGCTACTTTGGGACCTGACCTTTAAGGGAGATAACAGTCATTTTTGCACCTAGCCAGATGTTGCTGAGCTCTTTGTGGGAAAAAGAGGAACGGTGGTTATGAGTTAACTTTTTCATGCTTTGCTTATGTGGATTGCATGAACAAGGTATAGTTTCCAGGGCTTCAGAGCAATGGGCATGGATGTTTCTCTGCCTTTGTATTGGTAGTCTGTAAACCCAGAGAGCATGTCCCCAAAAACTTCTGGGCTGAAAATGTCCACTCGGCTTGTGTGCCACACTCTAGAGTAGATATTATTTCACAGCCTACTTTGATCTCCTTTTTAACTACCAAATGCCTCTTGTAACTGCTTGTTATAGTTTGGGGATAGGTATCTTTATTCTTGTGCTCTAGCAGGACATGTGGTGGCTGTCTCTCCCCCTGCTTTCTTAAAAGCAAATTTGGAAAGTTTGTATATGGGACAGAAGGTAACCACTCAGGTTCTCCCAAGAATAGTTCTTCTCCTAGCCCTTGAAAAGCAAACTTGAAGGAGATACTGCATTTCCAGACCTGATGCAGCGTAGACATACTGTGATCTCGAGCTTTGCCTTCTGAGCAGTGGAAGGGCAGCGGATCAAAGCAGGGAGCATGCAAAACTAGACACTATTGCAGTGTTACGACTAATGGTGCTATGTAAAATCTGCAGTTCATAATGAATGGTAAATTTTAGTGTATCACCTGTTTTCTGAGCTGGTGACCTTGCCTACTCGATGATCTTGCTGCAGGCAGAGCACTTCTTTCAGCGTGTGATCAGGATGTATCATTGCAGAAGAAGCCCAGAACCGTCCTGGATTTCAGGGCTCTGTTTTTAGGAAAGCTGGTATTTCTGCACTTGGACACTGTGCTTTTTGTATGTGCTTTTTAGGGTTTGCTAAGCTGTTGAAGTAGTCTTCAGCAAAATACTTTTTCTAGTGGCAATGCATAGATTGCAGTAAGTGCACACCAGGACTGCTGACTCATGCTCCGTTGACTTTGTGGTTTGTGGAGGTATTTTGGAAAACTTGATTCTGAAATGTCTGGCAAAGCTGCCTGAATTTATTGACATACTTGTTTTTCCTGTACATACAGACTCTAATATGGTCAATGCAGGAGACATGAATGGTTCTGGCAACCTGATGGATTTTCTGGATGAACCTTTCCCTGATGTTGGAACTTACGAAGATTTCCACACCATTGACTGGCTGAGGGAGAAATCGCGTGACACTGACCGCCATAGAAAGGTAACGGTGTCTGGCTTTGATGCACTGCAGTCCCTGGGTTACAGCCATCCTGGTGGTGAGAAAAACAAGCAGTTTTCCAAAGTTATTGCTTCCTACCTTGTTGTATGTCTTGAGGAGGACTTCTAAAAATAGGGATGTGGTATGTCTTGAGTTTGTAAATATGAAAGGGCTTCCAGCAACTTAACCAGCAGAGCATCTCTAAAAAATGATTGGGACTGGGGGGAGTAGAGAGTAGAGAAATTGCACATACCTTCTAGGAAGTTAAATATTTCTTGTTTTAAACATTTTACACTAAAACTGTGTCAGCCTGAATCTGCAACATGTCTATATATATGTTTAATTTCAGATTACAAGCAAAAGTAAGGAATCCATATGGGAGTTCATCAAGAGTTTGCTGGATGCCTGGTCAGGATGGGTTGTAATGCTTCTCATAGGACTACTGGCAGGTATGTGTGTGTTAGTATTACAGTTATGCCCCAAACTGTCTTGCCCAATTTTGCTGCAGTGCCATCAGCTTCTCTTTTCACTTTATTGTCTCTCCACTGATGTTTCAAGCTAAAAAGACAGCCATGCATCCATGCAGTTACAATCCTTAATAAAAATACCCACTTGCAACGTCTCCTGCTGAGTGCTGACCTAGAAAAAATGTTACTCACCAGTAGAGGGATTTTTCTATTGCTTTTGGAAATACACATCTGAGTGCTTTACACTCGATGGGCTACTTTGACTTTCTGAACCTTTGATTCACAGAAGTCAATTTTATTGGTAGGGTTATCTTCTTTATATATGCATGAAGGGAAAATACAGTTTCAGACTCAGTTTCAGATCTGCTTCCAGGCCAGGCAGACATTACATATTTAACAGCCTGCTCAAACTCAGATGGCAAATTCATTACTTTCCCAAATTGCTCCTGTCTTCTGCTCAGTTTAGCACATCTTCTAACTTGGAAAGCTGCACTTCTCTTACCAAGTTGAAACAGCTGCTATTTTTTATGCTTTTTCAGTGATGTCAGGGTGCTCTTTGTATCATGCTGCTTGGTAAAAGCATGATGTGAAGTTTCACAATTTCCAAGTGGTGTGAATTTCCTGCTTACCAACTGTCAAGTTAATATGTTTATTACAGTTGTTCAGGAGCCTCAGAAGTACTAGGGAGGTTCTTGAGAAAATGTTGCTGATGTGACATTTTTGGCAAATTACGTTATTTTGTAGAGATACACTTGTTTCTACAAAAGCTTTGATGGGAGGGTGTGATGGGAAGAGAGTCTGATAGACTGTGTACTACTACTCTGCCTGAAGGCCAGGGTTGGCCTCGTCTGGGATAAAGAATTCTGCTTGCAAATAAAGTTAGAGCAAGCCTTTGAGGGCTCTAGTGTCGTCCCACAAGCTGGTCAGCAATCCCCTCTCTCATACAGAGAACATGGTATACACTCACACATTCCCATTTGAGTAAAAATATCCCAGGAGGTTTGTTTCAGTTCTAGTTCGCAATGAAATCTCCTGCTGAAGTTCTCAAGGTTGTCGAAAGCCAGAGTTGGTGACCTCTGATAAGCTCTAATGCTGGTACGTCCAGCATGGGAACAGAGGTCGAAGGTAAGCTGCAGCTGAGATGTGTTAGCTTTTGCAACCTTTTCAATGACAAGGGTGCAGAGCAACAAGTTTTACCTTAAAGAGTCAGATCAAATTAGCCTGTTTTTAAACTGGGACAAGGACTTGTGAATCAGCTAGAGAACAAAAATTACCTACGTGCTTGTGACCTGGGCTGAGCCCCGTAGATTTTTTTTTTCTGCCTGCCGTTGAAACGACACATGCTCTGTGCCTTCAGCATTTCTGGGACAGGGCAAAGATGGGGAGTCACCATCTCAGCCTCAGTGAGGGGTCAACACTCCTTTGATGACTGGCAGGAATTATTGATGAGTGGATGAGGTTTGGGGAGGGAGGAGGTGGGGTTGGTGGTGCAGTCAAGAGGCATTTCATGTTGTTGCCTTCTCTACTTGAAATACTGCCTGCTCAGAGAAGCCGGCCTGTCACGAGGGTACCTGTGTGATCACACAAGCTTGCACGGACCAGCCTGGCTCCTCTGTGGTCCCTCTTCTCCTGCTGAACAGGCAGAAGCTACATGGGTTGAGCTCTCAAGCAGCTGGGTCCAGGCATCGCCAGAGGCAAGGAGTGTGATGAGGAGTGGGAAAGGAAGGAGAAAGCAGCAGCAGCAGCAGTGCCCAGGGTGTGAGGGTCTTGTGGAGGACCCTGCCCATGCTTTCCCCTTGCTGGGGATGGAGGGCAGCCAGGTGGGACACCTGGGGAAGGGGATGGCAGGGACCTCCGCATGTTTCCAAAGGGGCTGGACGATTTACCCAGGCCCAGGAGTTTAAAGTGAACCTAACTGATCTAGAAGCTTAAATCCCACCAATTTGGTCAACTGAATCTTTCAGGTTTTGCAACGCTTCAAAGTCTGCACCGCCACAGCTGACACAAGCTGGTGTGGCCAAAAGGAGCAAGCCTTGTCCTCCAGTGTCCCCACCATCGGGCCCTGTTGCTTTGTGCATGTGCAGCTGCACAGGGCAGGTGAATCTGGGAACTGACTTGGTGGAAAAAAACAGGTTTTGGCCAGATTAGTTTTCAGTTGATCAGTGGGCTCAGCAGGGTTGGTCACCACAAAGCCACAAGCAATCAAAATAGTGCTGACGGGAAGGAGCTGATGGAGGGAGGAAGGAGAGGACCGTCCCATTCAGCAGTGTGACTCATGTCATTTTTGGAATGTCATCGAACCTGCATCCTTCGTTAGTCCCAGAAAAGCGTAGGTGGGAAAGGGACCTCTGCAGGGTGTCTGCTCTGGCTTTCTGCTCACAGCAGGGCCAGCTTCAGAGTTAGAGCTGTATGTTTTGAGTAACACCAAAGTATATTAAGAATGTAACAGCAGCCATTTGGGATCAGACCAAAGTTTCATGAGTGAGTGTAAATTAACCTGAGCGGAGCCCCTCGCTGCCGCCACAGTCCAACAGATCTAGCTCCCAGGCTCTTTCAGAGCCATGTACCCACAGGACCTCGAACCCTCAGGTGCTACATGGAGGGAGAAGATGGTGTATGACACTGTCAAGTGGCTGGAAAGGCACTAAGGAGCTTCTGGAAATGAGGTCTTGGGACCCAGAGCCTACTTATTTTGGGAAGGAGGAAGGAGCAGTAACACAGCCAAATGCTGTTTGGTGTGGAGATCAGATGAAAACTGCTCACACAATGCTCCAGAAAAAGATGATAGGCCTGTCTTGGTCAGAAAGTTTGCACACTTTCTGGAGAAATACAAAGCAATGTATGGGGAAATGAGCCTAAAAATTTTAGGTGTGGGTGCTGAATTTTTAGGCACTCGTTTTTAAGGAATTCTGAGTTTTTACTGTGCCCATCCTGCCTGCAGACCAATGGTCATCCCTTAACGTAACCATTACTACTAGCCAACTAAAGGTATGTGCTATGTATAGATCAGCAAAAGAGTCTGTGTTTTCTGAAGCTATGTGACAAAAAGTACTATTGTACTAATGCTAAAATGCTGTGGTACTGGAGCTGGATGTGCAAAAATCCCCTTTGTAATTCAGTGTTGCGCCAGTTGGGTGATGCTGTTTTCTGGCACAGTTGCATAAAGAAAACAATGTTTTCAAAGCAAATTTTTAGCATTCTCATTAGGGCATTGTAAAGGATGAGTATTGGCCATCATCAACCAAAGGAAAAGGAGAGAGGTAAAGGCTAATATCTAAAACGAAGTGCAGCATTTCCTGGCTTTGGAGTGCTCAGTATTTTTCATTCTGGGCAGGAGGTTACATAGAAGGGGGAAGAAGTTCAGTTCCTTTGATGAGAGAAGTAGGGAGATAAACTTACTCTCTATTACAGTCTAGACAGCCATGGCAAGCACAAGAAATTAAAGGCTTGACTTTCTGAGATGCTGAACAGCCTTCAACTTCCATTAATTTCACTTAAAATTGCAAAGATTCAGAACCTGGAAAACTTCTAGCCCTGGTCACGTGTCTTGTGAAGCATTCTCTATAGCACTATTATCTCACCAGCGCTTGCCCTCCCCTCTCACGATTTTCTTCTGTGTAAAGCATGTGTAGTAAATTGCATGTACATTTTCCTCCTTATGTGGATCCTAAAGCATTTGGCAACAGATCAGCTGCATACTTAAGTACATTTTCCTAGAGATACTGGGGTGCATGTGAGCTTGTTGTATTAGAGAACTGAATGTTTGTTCCTCACTCTGTTTATTAACTTTGTCAGGGAAAAACATTCAAAAGCCTGTCTGCCTGCCTTTGTACCTGCTGCTATGTAGAATTAATACTCAATTGCCTGGTAAAGTGTGATGTGAGCTTTGAAGATTGGAGTAGCTACAGAGCACGATAAAGGTCCACCAAGAGATGCAAGAGGCACAGCATCTGGTGCTCATGTCCAAGGGATGAGGATTCTTTGTATAGTCTCCTGAAACTTTCAGAAAATTGCAGGAGAATTTAGAGTTTACTGCAAAACTCAGTAAGCTACGCATGCTGACACTACTAGCAACACAGTGATTTATCATCACCTAAGAATATGGTTCCTTGTTCCATAGAAACTTAGGAAAATGGAAAAGAGGAAGAGAAAGGCAAGGTCTTCGTGAAAGAAAATAACTGGTGCAGACATCATTACTCCCTCCTGCAGCCTTTTTTTGTGATCTTGTCTAGTATATCTGCATAGTTCTTCAGATTATTCCTATACAACAAAAATTCTTCACTGCTACCCTAGTCACATCACTTGTCAGTGTGGGGACAAGTATCCTTCTAAAGGGAGTGAAAGCATATGCTTATGTGTAAGGCTCTGTGAACACTGGTGGGGTTTTTTTCTCTTCTAGGGAATAAAAAACAGGTTACACATGCCTGAATTATTGAAATTTTTTTTTTTTTCCTCTTTCACAGAAATGCAAAGCAGAAAACTTTAGTTCCAGGTCAAATAAACTGGCTCTTGAACCCAGCTGTGTGCCCCAGCTGCTAGGGGAAAGGGGAGCAGCCCCTACCCCTGCTTCATGTAATTGCATTCTTAGCAGGAGCCACAAAGCTAAAAGTTTTGGAAACATAAACCCAAACCATTCTGGATTTTCCAAAGCTTTTTTTTTTTTTTTTTTCCCCAGTGTTTTAGCCCTACTGAAATGCACTGATAAATTCTGTTCAGATCCGTTCGTGGTTTCCTGAAATTGTATTAATGATTACTTGTAAAAATAATGTTGACTTCTACTTTCCATTGTATAGGAGAGGGGTTTGGAAAACACTAAATGACTTTTCTATCAGTTGGTGGTTTAATGCTTTCCAGAAACTACGGCCATAGGGACTGAACTCAGGTTTGCCTTTCTGTGTTCTGGCTGCTGCCGGCCTCCCCGCTCCTGCTGGGGTTGCGTTCCTGAGGACAAATCTGCTCTGGGGGTGCTGGTACTGGGGCAGGGGATTATTGCTGGGGAGCAAATGCCCTAGGAAAATAGGATTTTTTTTTTTCCGTGGGGTCTGGCCACATCATTTTTACCCGTGCTTGGGTCTGGTGGCCACCGGGTGTCGCTGCAGCTCTGTGTAATGCATGGGGAAAAAACTGAAATAAGGGTTTATTTGGTACAGAGAGGACTTGAAGGATAATTTTATTCTGCATATTTGGATTGCTGATGAATGTACACATTGAGAGCCCGATTCCGTTAAGTTCCTAAGTCAGAATCTGGCATCCATGTTGTTTCTGTACTGAAATATCTTCTAAAAGGTTGCTGCGTTGGGGCCAGTAAGGCTATAGGAAAACATACATCTCCTCCTCCTCCCCTACCCCTGAAATAATACACAGCATAGTTTGGGACCTGCAGCTTGGTACGTATAGACACCCTACATGAAGCCCTCCGTATGTCAGTCAAATGGTGCACCTGCCTGGGACAGACTGCAGGATCAGGCCCTACATCAGTTATGCCTGCCTTATTTGGCAATCAGTCAGTATGAAAATGATAATATTTAAAATAAAAGCTTACGAGAGAGCATCGAAGGTCAGACAACAAGCTGGTGTGTCTGTGTCTTTGCAAACTCATCATTGCCCCCAGTTCTTTGGTATATTTGTGCTTACATTGCAGCTGCTTCCCCAAATCGTGCTTTTTGCTGTTATTAGATATATTTTCCTTGCAACTTGATATTTTTTAATGCCACGGTTTCTTTTTCTGCATTTCTTTTCCCAGGCACGTTAGCTGGAGTGATAGATTTAGCTGTGGATTGGATGACAGACCTGAAAGAGGGTGTCTGCCTGTCTGCCTTCTGGTACAGTCACGAGCAGTGCTGCTGGACGTCTAATGAAACTACATTCGATGACAGGGACAAATGTCCCCAGTGGCAGAAATGGTCTGAACTTCTTGTAAGCCAGTCTGAGGTACGGGAGACCTGATTAGGTTGGGGTCAGAACAGGCCAGGGAATGCCCTTTTTTTCATAGTTGCTGATGTTCCCTCCAGAGAGTTTCTCTGAAAGTAATGAACGGAGCACCTTGCAAAAAAAGACATTTCCACAAGCAATATCTGCTTAACTTGGGAGAGGTCCCATTGTTTCAGTGTCGTGTGTGATGGAAATTGGAAAACTGTGAGATCGCTCTTTCTTTTTATCAGTATTAAACCAAAAGTGTTTCATAACACTCATAACAGTCACCAGGGGACCTGAGCAGCTATCCATTTTTTTTTCTTTTAAACAGAATTTTATGGGACAAAAAAGATGATCCCTGATACATACATTTAAGAGGAAATTTTGGGGATTGCAGATGGTTTTCATGTATTCACATGCTGTGAGTAGTAGTGGGAGATGCAGAAGGACTGCTTGTTATGCCCTTGCAATCGGTTTCTGTGTTAGATAGTAAAATATTTAGCTAGCACCGAAAGCTGGGGAACTAATGGGCTTCCCAGGAGATGGCCAAAGTGAAAAATTAGCAGGGGGAGTGAACAGGAAGGGAAAAAGCACATCTGGGTGGACATGAAACTTACATTTTAAGAACTTTTTTCTATTCTTTTTTTTTTTTTAAATTGTAGTAATTTTAAATACAAAGAAGGCAGTTTCAAAGTAAAGCAAGTGAAAGTTTCATTTTGAAGACATCAAAAGAAGCCTTTCTATTCTCCTTTTAGCAGATGACACTTTTATAAAAAAATATAAAAAAGGACATTTTATTGTCAACCCAAGCTATTCAAGTATTGAATACTATTGATCCCTTCACAACTCAAATTTTGAGGCAGAAATATTGTCTCAACCCCCCCCTCCCCCCATTTCTACAGGTGACTTGAATATGACAAACATTGAATAAGACATGGAGGTGGGATGAATGTGGCTTTGAAGAGAACTGCCTTAAGTATGTAACAGGACTTATAAAAAAAGTCTGGTAATGCAGTTTGGTCAATAATAGAAGAAAATATATACTTCTATGGGATAAATCATCTTCAGCCAGACAATTAAAAAATGTCTGACTTGGAGAGATTGTCTCGGATCTTCCCCAATGTGGAGGTGGTCTGGTCCTGGAGAAATTGTTTGAGGGCACCTTCATCACCGTACAAGTTTGTCATTCATGTTCCTTTCAGTTCTTCTTTAGGCTTACGGTACAAGTAGTACTAGATAAGAGTGTCTGTGAATATGTATAGCCCAATTTTCCATAGTTCTAATTAAACATAGTGAAAGTAGCAGGGTGCTCACTGTTCCTGAATATTCCCACCATTTAATTGCAGGCAAAAATCTCTCTGCACAGTTGCCAGTCCACAGTGCCAAGCTTCCCCTTGCCAGAGGTTTTCTAGGTTCACACTGGTCTTCATCAACAGATGTTTTGGATGGTTGTGTTATTGTAACAGTGAAGAAATATTACCCTGGTATGAAGCTGCAGAACTGGGGACGATGTTGTAATTTAAGAGAACAAAAAAATGTGGGAAGGGAAAAGAGAGGAGACTGTTACAATTGTTATGGGATTTGGAAATCCTGTGCATGTGTTTGACAGGCTGTTACTCTGAAAGGCTGGAATATATAAATGGAGCATATCCTTGAGAAAATTTATTGCTTTCGCCTGCTACTCGAAATCAGCAGTCATAAGTGTTGTATGTTGTGGCCTATAAGAAGGGTATCTGCTAGGTGGGCACTGGGAAACTTTACTCACTTTGTATTCAGATTGGCCTTCTCACTCCCTAGTGTACTGTCACAGTGGGGAAAAAAGGTTCATCTTGGCTTAGATTTAGGGTCTTTCTCAAAACAAATGGGCCTCTAAGATCTGTGGGTTTCTGGCTGCCATGGCCTGATGGATGCTGTAGTTATTAATAATACAGCTGTCTATTACTGTTACATTGAAATCCCAGGCAAAGCCCAACAAAAATGTGAATATGGAAAGTAAAAATTCTGTTTGGTAGCAAAAGGCTTATGATATGGGCAAGGGTTGCATGATTCCCGTAGCTGTAGAGGGCTCTAGGAGGGATCAAAATACTCTGAATTTGACTGAGTTTCAGGATAATTTTGCCCCCCCCCCCTTTTTAATTTTGTATGTGGCTTCATTTTGTGCCCAACATTTGCATAACAGCCCTAGAAAACAGCAGTGTGCAGAACTACTACTTTGGAGCACGTTTTAGACAAGAAGTATTTGGAACAGTTTCCCTAAAGGTGCTCTGGTCAGACATGTCTTCTTTTTTAATGCATGACTGTGACTCTTTCTCATCATAGACAACTAAATTTGACATTTTGAGGACTAAGATTTAGATTAGCTCTTCCCTGTGGTTTTGCCAATTTATGACTGTGATAAACCCTGTACATATGTTCTCGCTGAGAATTGTGACATTTCCTATGGCATCTCCTGAAAAATGTTTTCGTTCTAGTCCTCCTATAAACTGAGCCCAAAGCAGAGTCTTGATATAAATTACTATGGAAAATATAATAGCACATCAGACACATACCAGGCTATGTTTTCTTCCCTAAACACTGTTTTGTAGGCCAATTATATCCTTCATCCCTCTGGTCCTGAACTGCTTCCAAAGAGCAGGTGAAGAGTTTTTTTTGATGTGAGAGAGTTTCAAAACCTCAAATTCACTGGAGGAATGGATGTGTTAAAGCACATCAGATGCTACCCACTTCAGCTGGATCTCTAGCCAGTATCTGGTGACCCAGAGCTTTCCCAATCTGCAGATCCAGCTTGGTCCCAACCTCAACTTCACTGGAGCTGAGGACCCCGTTTCTGGTGCCTTACACCTATCCAGGGTAGAGGAAAGGACCCCGTGTCTTCCACGGCTCGTGACACTGGATCCAGCCATGGACTGCAATCCCATCCCAGGGCTTCTGGATCTCCTGTCATGAAGCTGAGACCTGCAAGACAAGGAAGTCCCTCTATACCTCGAACCCACTTCCCAATTTTGCAGCCTTGAATCTGTCAGCCTTGAGGGCTTTGAGGAGACACGTTGCTGTAACATCCACAGGAGGGAGTCTGCAAGCTGTGAGATCCCCAGTCGAGTCAGAATAGAGCTCTGGGCCTGCTGAGAAAACAAGCATTGGATGGTATCCTGAGGGATGGGGTTTATTTCAGTATTCTGAGTTTGTGAGGGTTGTTTTCAATTGTGTTCCATTTGTACCTAAACTGGACTGACACCAGCCCGGAAATACTGCTCTGTCTTGCAAAGTAAAAGACAAAATTTTGCTCAGTTCCTCTACTTGCTTCATTACTATTGCTGCCAGGGTGAGTCCTTCGAGCCACTAGTGGAAAAGGTCTTAGCAGGATCATCTCTGCTGATGAGCTTTTTTGGTCTCCAATTCCAGTACACACGCTTAAGACTTCTACTGATTCAGGGTCTTAGTAATCGTAATGCCACGTAATGAATGAGAAATGAGCTATTTGCTATACTGAGTTACTACTACTTTACTTCCCAAAGGTTTTCATTTTATTAATCATTAGAAACTGCTGCAATTGGACCTGCAGAATGCCAGATATCTGGAAAATGTAACAATGAGAGTTCTCCCAAGGGATAAGACTGAACTGGCCATATAGACTCCTGTGGGGTCCTGCCACAGGGCTGTAGCTGTATGTGTGATTGCAGTAACGAGCTGACATAGTTTTCATGTGACTTTTGAGATGTGAAAGAAGAAGTAAAAAGAAACAAAGTTAATTTGACTCCAGTGAATATAGAAGCAAAACTACAGCTTTCGCTCAACAGTGTGGGGCCAAACTGTTGTAATGGCATTGGTCTTCTTTGGAGTTACTCCAGGTTCGCACTGACAGGAGAATTTTGCCCTGGGGCAACATATCCAGAGTTTTCTCTAGAGGAAGAATAAATATTGTCATAGCTGTTTGTAATTGAAGGCAGTAGGAGAACACATACATGAGACTGTCTTCAGCTGTAGCAACAAAGATCCATGGTTACTACGGACAGATGTCAATCACTGTAAGTGTGGGATCCATGACTGCTTAGTCTCAGGGCATTGGGATGTGGCATCGTATTGCTCTTCTGCTGTTATCAGCAAAGCCAGCTGCTAACTTCAGCAAGCACAAGAGGACCTTAACAAATTGCCCTTCTTCCAAATATATCCATAAGGTTAAGGGCAGTGGTTCCCTTACTGTCTTCTCAATTGGACAGAGACCTGGAAAATGAGGCTAGCAAGCATCCGTGCTGTTAAAGGTTGATTCCTTGCAGGCTTGCAAACAGGGAGACTTCTCAGCTCTAGGTTTTTTATGACTTGAGAACTGGGCTTGGCCAGGTCTGTTAACTGAAGACACGATACAACTGGTTAATGCCTGTTTTCCTACTTGATTTATCATAATGTTGATATCCAGACTGCTGTCCTGCAGAGCAAAGACGGGGGCCCTGATGTTCTTGAGCAGCTGGGATTGCATCTGGTAGGAAGAGTTCACTTAGAGGTGAACAATTCATACCAATTCATGCACTGAGGTTCATCTTCTTTCTTATTCTGTAGTGTCACGTTGCTAGAGGAGATTGTTTGAAGGCTTAAGCTCCTCGTATCAATTCAACGCCTCTGACTAGATTCTCTTTTGTCTGTGTAGGTGGGTTTTTTTGAAATTAATCTAAAAAATTATGCTTGTGAAGAGGGAGAGGTATTTTAAGGCAGATTTTAACAACAGTTTTGACTTGACCATTGGAGACAGGTAGAAAGCTTGAAGGTCGCTACTGACTATGCTTTCACTATGGCACTGCACAGTCAACCATTGCTAATGATCATTAGCATTTCCATTCTGTCAGTAAAGCTATTCAGCTTGAAGATAGGTTTTATTATTGACTGGAATGCTTTTAAAATATCAGGGCAAAAATGACTGAGATGTGTCTGAGTGGGATCTGCCAAGCTATTGTGTTTTCAAGTGATTTTCAACCCTGTCATATAGATAGCATCATATAGAAGGAAAGGGTTTATTTATGGTTTTACCCTTCCCGTTTGTGAACTGAACTGGCTACTGATATACACAGGGATGTCGTCTGAAAAGATCAGCATCTGCATGGAGACCTGACCTTTGAATACCAGCCCTCAGAAAAAGATGTATCAGGGTCTTATCCACTGTCACCTGCCATGGGTGCTTTTTTATCACCAATTACTTTTGCCCTTCACACATATTTGTTTGTTTTGGAACTTTTTGTGGTTGGCTTAAAATTTTAGTGCTTGAAAGATGCCCTGTTTAAGGTGTTTGTGTCCCTTGCAAACACACCGTATGACTGGGCTAGGTATGTATTCGTAAGCTGCTTCTTTCCATGAGTAATAAAATTGTTGGAGTATATCAAGTCGTTTGTCCTTCCTGAGGAAAAGCAGCAGCTAGCATGTAAATGAAAAGATCAGGCTCCATGCCATCATGATACCATGTAGAAGTGTGAGATTTACCAACCTGCATTTATCTAACAATGTTTGTTACTGTTATTTTTCTAGGGTGCAAGTGCTTACATTCTAAACTATTTTCTATACATTATGTGGGCTCTATGTTTTGCTTTCCTGGCAGTCTCCCTGGTCAGAGTGTTTGCTCCCTATGCCTGTGGCTCTGGAATCCCAGAGGTGAGTTTCTCTTTGCGGATGAATATCCAAATACTAAACAAAACAAATACATGATAATTTGCCTCCTTTTCCCATTCCAGGACTGTACTATGAGATAGCATAGGAATAAGAAGATTGTCTTTTCATCTCACCTGCCTTAATTCCTTTGCCTGACATGCCTTTATGGTGCCCATCTAAATTTTTCGTAGTAGAAAATGTTCAAATGCCACTGTGACAGGTTAATGTACATATGTCTTCACTGCCAGAGCTTGAATTAAAAATCAACGGCTCCCAGTCATCACTTTGTGGACTCCCAACTTTTTGTGGCTGAGAGGCATACTCACTGGAAGGTTATATAGAAATTTCCTTGGATGAAATTACTTGGGCCAGTTCCAAAACCAGTCATTTTCTAGGCTGGGCTTTAAATAAAACCAAAATAAAATGAAGAGGGAGGGCTACAAAGCTAAGGTTTCCTAAGCTACTGAAGATGCGAGATGCCCATCATTTGGGATGCCTGAAAAGTGTCTGGCATCCATCTTCTGCAGATTGTGTCCGTGTACACAATGTCATGCTGGAATGGCAGTACTATGGCAGCCAAAATCTCTACTTGGTTTTCAATATTTTCCATATTGAGCCTCAGTCCATATTTAAGCTGTTAAAATGAGAAACTCTGTAACTCAAGCAGCATAGCTACTCAAAATTTTTGAAATCAGGGCAGTCTTTTGTTAAAAGTGCTATAGAACCACTGGGATTATTACTTAGGAATCTGGCAGACAGAATCAACAGCCCAAATTTTAGAAATCTTGGTATACTTCTTTTCTTCATCTCTAGGAGAAGCATCCAAGTGTTTCACAGCCAATTAGGGGGTAAAAAAAACAAAACCACAAAGAATTTGAAATATTTAAGTAATTTCCATGTTTCAAAGTAGTCGTGTGTGTGTGTTACGTTTGATATATCTGTAAGTATTTCTAAAATGTTTTCATAATTAACTGTAAATCTAGTTTCCAAGTGGTAAATCTCTTATGTGAGGTGATGCTCAGCTCCAGCCCATTTCCAGGGCTGAAGTCCAAACCCAAATCCCACCCTGCAGCCTGTCTGTCATGCACGGGCATTGTGCTCTATTCTATCTACTCACATGCAAAATTAAGAGGAAATGTGTAAAAATAAGATCTCTTGGACTTTCTCATTTCAGAATACTTGCATGCTTTTATGGCATGGCCATTCAAAATATTTAGAACTTTTTTTTTCTTATTTTAACTGGGAAAATTCTGTGGTGGTTTATTTGCTTTTTTTCTTCTTTGTTAAAGTTGAGTCTAGTTTAACTCTGATCCTGTAAGCCAAGGAGATATGTAAGAGTTTCATATTTCTATTGATCTGTGAGACTCCTTACCGACCCATAACAACAGTAAAAGTGTGGTCTGCTTAACCCCTGCTCAGATATTGCTGTGGGAAAGTTGCCCTACCTATGGTTTCTTTCTCTCCATCACTGTCTCTTTTCAAGCAGTCTGCAATTTTTTTAACTCTGCTGGATTTTTAACTCCATTTGCAAGTTCAGAGTAGAAAAGGTTTCTTCAGCTCTTCAACATGTTCTTCCTGCTTTCCAGATAAAAACCATCTTGAGTGGGTTCATTATTAGGGGCTACCTGGGAAAGTGGACACTTTTAATCAAAACAGTCACCTTGGTTCTGGTGGTATCTTCAGGCCTCAGCCTTGGGAAAGAGGGGCCGTTAGTCCACGTGGCCTGTTGCTGCGGAAACTTCTTCAGCAGCCTTTTCTCAAAGTACAGCAAGAATGAAGGAAAGAGAAGAGAGGTGAGGTTGGCTCACATCATCTCTAATTTCCCTGTCCGGATACTCAGTGTTTCAAGGTACTCATGCCTTGTACGTAAATATTTGCTTTGTAGGTGCTTTCAGCTGCAGCTGCCGCAGGAGTTTCTGTTGCCTTTGGGGCTCCAATTGGAGGCGTGCTTTTTAGTCTGGAAGAGGTGAGACCTGGCAGTTCATTTACTTCAATAAATATCTTTTCATGTGATACCCTTTTCTAAGATTCCTCTTTATTTTTCAAAAATTTATATGCTTATTTTTCTTCTAAAGCAAAAATAATCTTTGATTTCAAGTAATAAGAAATGGGGTATTTTAGCCCCATTTGAGTAGGAGACGAGCACTGGCTTTCTGGAAACAAATGAAATTATTCAATCTGGAAGTGTATCCCTTTGCTGAGGTTTCTCCAGCTTGCTGCCGCATGGGCCGAGCTGTCAAGCATCTGTCTTATCATCTCTAGCTAGCAGTTTTGGATTTAGATTTATCATTTTTTAACTGGTTGCTGCTCCCTATCTGAAAATGCCTTTTCTGATAACTTTGTGAACGCGTTCTGGTTGTGGTAAGGACTAGCACTCCCAGTAAAATCAGACGTAGAGTCACAGATGAAACACACAGCGATGGCAATTAAAGCAAACCCTCTGTCACATGCAGTGAAGTGTTTATGGTCTCTGCTTTGTTTTAGGTCAGCTACTACTTTCCCCTGAAAACCCTCTGGAGGTCATTTTTTGCTGCTCTCGTGGCTGCCTTCACGCTGAGGTCCATCAATCCTTTTGGAAACAGCCGGCTGGTCCTGTTCTATGTGGAGTACCACACCCCCTGGTACATGGCCGAGCTCTTCCCCTTTATCCTGCTCGGCGTCTTCGGCGGCCTCTGGGGGACCCTCTTTATCCGATGCAACATTGCCTGGTGCAGGAGGCGAAAAACTACCAGACTCGGGAAATACCCAGTCCTGGAGGTCATAGTGATAACAGCTATCACTGCCATCATCGCCTACCCCAACCCCTACACCCGGAGGAGCACCAGCGAGCTGATCTCAGAGCTCTTCAATGACTGTGGTGCCCTGGAGTCCTCGCAGCTCTGCGACTATATCAATGACCCAAACATGACCCGGCCGGTGGACGACATTCCCGACAGACCTGCCGGCCCCGGAGTCTACACTGCCATGTGGCAGCTGGCCTTGGCTTTGGTGTTTAAAATTGTCATCACGATATTCACTTTCGGCATGAAGGTAAATCGGGGACAGGCGCAGAAGCTGTTGCAAGCACAAGGCGCAGATGGGTTGCTATCAGCAGCTGTGGTCTATCTGGCAGGGCTTGTGTGCTTCTGACCTGCACCCACCCACATGGGTGTCGTTGAGATGCTTAATGGTTCACCTGCCCGCCAGCACCTTGCTCTGTGGGCCCCTGTCACAGCAGAGGGATGAGCCCTGCTCTTCCACCTTCTAGTCATCTGCAGTTTTATTAAGTGACAAAGAAATCTGGGTGGGAATTTATATCCACTGTTGCCAATAAGCAAATTCAAGGTGATTGCCACTGCAGCTGTCTTTCAGCTCTCTCAGGGATATGGACTATTTACATTGTTGTTTGTCTTGTTGCATTAATGTCTTAATGTGCCTCAAGGTAGCTATGCTCAGGGAAGTAATAGCTTTAAATTTAGTGATTTACCCATTCAAAACCTCACAAAAATAAAAAAGCAGCTGAAAAGTTCTATTTTTGAATCTTTTTAAGCACTGTAGCTTGGAAAAAAAGAGGGAATGAGTGGGAAGAGTGACGGATGTATGATTTGATTATTCTAGATTTGCAACTTTTTCCTTCCACTCCTCCTCCCCATAAATGGGTGATGAAAGGTCCAAGAACAATTTATCCAAGCTTTCAATATATACAAAGCTGTTTGTGGTGAGTTTTATATATCTGATTGCTAGAGCCCATATAAAACACATTATCTGTCTGTCTGCAGCTCCCATTATCTGAGCATTTAGTTCTGGATCTGATTGCAGCAGACGATGGGAAGTTTTTCTGAATTATACACTATATTTTATACCACACTCAAAGCTAAAGCATCTCATCTTTCTCTTAAACACTGGGCTTGAACTGAGGATCCATCTTTCTAAAAAGTCTTTTACCTGAATTATAGTAGGAAGTTGTTGGAGTTTTGCTTTTCTTTCATGTTTTCTCCATCTGATGACAAGAACTACTGAATGGTAGAAGGTCACTCAGGACCAGTGACTGAGTCCTGCTGATTTACTGAGCAAGGAGAACACGTGGGAGTTTCAGAGCACTTGGATGTTGCAGGTGTAATAATTCTGGAGGAGGACTTGAAATGAGATGCCCTTCACTGCAGAAACTGATTTATGGCTGGCAGCTAGTTGTTATGCTTGTTCATTTCTTTAAAAACTTCTAAGTTTGGTTCTTTATTTGATATGTGGTTCTTTATTTAGTCTATATATTTAAAATTTGTTACAAGCAATTGACAGTTTCAACTATTCTGTAAAAGAACAGACAACATAGCTTTATCCACCAAATCTAGAAGACTCAATCTGACTGTATCAGCAAAATTAACACTATATGGCGGGGGAGATAGATAGAGCCTGCTGTCATCAGCCTTAATGCCTCTGGGCTATGCTGAGGTTGTTAGTTTAGTTCTCTACGAAGCTCAAGGTGTGTTTTCAGAATTAAAAAGATATAACAGCCTTTCCTCTCTAAAAACAACAAAAACTCCATGGAAGCCCTTGCCACAGATAGGAGTTGTTTCCTCCACCAGGAAATTTCTCTCCAACTTGCAAGTGCACTTGACATCTAAAAGGAAATGCACTTAGCCAAGGCAAAGCGAGTTTTCATTTTCTTTTCTTTTTCTTTTTTGCTCCTTCTCATTTCAATGCTGTTTTTAATGATTTGTAACTTGTCTGTGTAGCAGGCAACAAGGTAATGATTTGTAGAACTTCCTGGAAAATATATAGCAAACTGAGATGAAGAAATAGCTTCCTCGGAGCAGTCAGCCTCCTTTCTCGGAATTTTTGTTCTGTATTTGACATTTAATTTAAAATCTGCTCTGATTTAGCCTGAAAGAGTAATAATAAAACTGTAAAGTACTCCATGTGATAGAGGGTGAAATCAAGATGTTATTTTCAGTTAAACTTATTCTCAAGCCCATGACAGAACCATCAGCATCTCCTGATTTCCTGCTGAGAAAGCAATAAAGGCAAAACCAGGAGCATCTTGACTTTAAAAGCAGACTATTATTCAGAAACACCATTTATCTATCAAATTCAGTGTGATGCAGCAGGTAGGATTCAAAATTACTTCTAAAAAATGCATTAATGTTTTCTAAAGCTATTGATAAACATGTAACCACACAAACTCAGTCACTGCAGAAACCTGTCTCAGACCACAGGGAGCATTGCTGTAGGCTGCCATAAGGCTATGGCCTTCTGAGCTAGCATTTAATAAGGAAACTCGGTTCTCTTACTACTCATAATAAATTGTTTGATCAATAAGTTCATACTAGTAATTTTTGTCAAGGTGCTCATGTGTCTATATTTTATTCAAGATCCCTTCAGGCCTCTTCATTCCCAGCATGGCTGTTGGAGCCATGGCTGGCAGGATGGTTGGGATCGGAGTAGAGCAACTGGCATATCACCATCATGACTGGATCATCTTCAGGAACTGGTGCAGACCTGGGGCAGACTGCGTCACACCAGGACTTTATGCTATGGTCGGAGCGGCAGCTTGCTTGGGTACAGTACCTGCTGATCGTTGGTTCGTGCATGAATAACACTGATGTTTGGGGACCTACAAATTGTTTATGAGGGTTTTGTGTTTGTGTTGGGTGCTATGCTGGCTTTTCTGGATGTAATAGAGGTTGAAATCAAGATGTGATGGGCTAAAGCATGGGCAGCTTCCTCTAATGGTCTCTCCAGTGATCTGCTGGGTGGGCAACAGCAGAGGCTTGCAGTCACCAATGCCTACTCCTTGTAATCTGCCAAAAAGCACACAGAGGGCAAGAAAAAATTAAAGTTTGGCTACAGGTTTCCAAGAAGGAAAACAACAGTGGTTTTGCTGGTTTTTTCTTTCCTTTTGATGTAGTGAAATCCACTGTAGCTGGACTAAAGCTACTTCCTTGTTTAGACTGTGCTCGCTCTCAGCGCAGGGAACAAACTTCCCACTTCTGTCCAAATTTTAAGTGACACAGAGGTAAAAATTCTGGGTCTTATTTTGGCTGTGTGTCACACTATGGTCAGCTGGGCTGTATTTTGGTTTTTGTTTTGACCATAGGCCAATATCTGATTACATTCAATCGATAGGATTTATTGGATATAACAGGAATGATCTGTTAACTATTAAAGCAAGATCATTGAATAATACCTCACATATCAAATTTCTAGTCATAGATGCAACAGGAATGTTACAAACGTACCATCTGAACATGTTTTTCCCTGATCATGTCTTTCCCCCTCCATACTTGTACCTTCTACCTCCTTTTGTTGTTGATACCGTCACCAGATGATGAAATAATAGTGGGGAGGCATAACACATGATTAATGTAATTGGGTAGATTTGAAATGAAGGATGTACTCCGGGAAGAGCTGGAAAAGTTTCAGTTTTGGAGTCTCATGTTAGAAGAGCAGGATCATTTGTGTGATCAGTTATAGAGGAAGGAAGGGTGGGATTTACTTGTCTAAATTTAATGTCTGTAATGTAGACATTGACATCTGAGCTAGCTGCATTGTTACCTTTCACAGTCAAAATAAAAAAAATGAGATACTGGAAAAATCAGTCTTACCTGGCAATAGACCTCTAAAACCAGGCAAATGGACAGATGAATTTGGCCTCAAAAGTGCCTGTTTTTCTCCAGAGATTATAAAGGCAGTCTGGATCACCCCTTTGGATGTGAACACCTACATCAGTGTAGACACATTAAAATAGCTATGATGAATCTTATAGTCAAAAAGAGTAAGTGCTTCCTCTTGTCCATAAATGATCTTAATATTCATAAAAGAAACGATTCAGAAAAATTTTGCTCTGATATTCCAGTTGATCTGCTAGTCAGCAATCACTTCCTCTTTTAAAAGGTCCAAATCAAGGTGTAGTGATTTTAATAGTATGGTGAGACATACAGCAGAATAGTCACTGCTCATTCTTAAGTCCAAGACCTGTCTTGCTTAGAGTAAGATACAGAGTAAGTATTAAATGATCTTTACTCTGGTATCTGCTCTCAGCTTTTCAGAGTCAGAAGTTTAAGGCATTCCTCCAATGAAAGTCATATCCGGATCATCGTGTTAAATAACCAACAATTTAATTTTCCTGTATGCTGCTAGATTAAAAGCATCTTTTAATGACCTGTTTCTGATTTGTCTCATCTAAAATGGTGCTGTATTTTGAGGCCTAAAAATAGCAGATTTATTACATTTACCTTTTGAACAGAGGCAAAGAAATGTTACCTAATAATTCAGTGATACATACACACTTGTCTGCAGTTATATGATTATTTTTATCCTTTAATGTAAACTGAAGGAGTAAGGACCTTACTTATGAAATTAACACAGAAAGACTAGATTGAAAAATACAGCTACAACCCTGTCGACGGCTGCATGCCTAGATGGCCTCAAACCAAGTTGTATACAGTTCAAACTGTATGTTATACTGATATCAAAAGTTAGGGTTTAAGCTGTAACATAGCTCTTGCAGTGGCCCTAAACTATCCTCACATAGGATTTTGTAACCATGTCGTGCCCAAAGATAATGCTTAGCTTTCTCTTCAGTATGAACGCGCTAGGTAAACCAACGTGAGGGCCAGCTCGCAGTGCTCCTACCTGCCCCAGCCATGATACTTAGCTGATTCTTGGAGTCGTTTTAGAGGACTAATGGCAGGATTCAGTTTTAGTTTCTCAAGCATCCAGTATAGCTGATTTTTTGGCATGATTTCTGGTTTGATAGCTTTTAGCACTCATTATTTGCTTTTCAATGTTAGCATCTTTGGCTTGAGCAAGGTCACTCAATCTTTTTGATGAAAATTGCAGTAGATGAAAAATCTCTTTCTTCAATGAAATAAGCCCCCAGATACCTCACAAAGTATAAGGGCAAAGTACTCAGCATGAATAATCTCATGCCTTTTTGAGTTTAAGACTCAAAAATATAAATGAGTTGTTTAGTATGTATACTTCAAGAGCACTGAGGGAAACTGCTTTCCTTGTTGGCAGGTGGTGTTACCCGAATGACAGTCTCTCTGGTGGTGATTATGTTTGAGCTAACTGGAGGCCTGGAGTACATCGTACCTCTTATGGCTGCAGCTGTCACAAGCAAGTGGGTGGCAGATGCCTTTGGGAAAGAAGGGATCTATGAAGCTCACATTCATCTGAACGGCTACCCATTTCTGGATGTGAAGGATGAATTCACCCACCGAACCCTGGCAACTGACGTCATGAGACCAAGGCGTGGTGAAGCTCCTCTCTCTGTTCTAACGCAGGACAGCATGACGGTGGAGGATGTCGAGACACTAATCAAGGAGACTGACTACAACGGCTTTCCAGTAGTGGTTTCGAAAGACTCGGAGAGACTTATTGGATTTGCGCAGAGACGAGAGCTGATTCTTGCAATAAGTGAGTAGAATATCAGTGTACATACAAGTTTGATTTTGATAGGGTAGGGTGTTACCAGTGTTATTCCCCTTGAAGAATGGATAAATAAGAACCGAACCTAACTTTTTCAAGTCTGGCTTTTACTAGTTGCTAGGACACATAGCTGGAAGATTTTCTATTGCAACATACCACCTGGTAGACTTCCGTGGGCTTGACTTTTGTGGGCTTAATTTTGCCTTCACTCACAACAGTACAATATGATTCTGCTAAAGACAACAGAGATAAACCTGACTCATGGCCACAATTTTTGTCAGAACCAGATGAAAAGCCACTGCAGTGCTGAGCTTTCTGCAGTCTCCGTGGGCTGCCGTCAGCAGCTGGGGCAGTTGTGAACCTTTGTCACTCTGTGACTAAGTACAAGTCCCTGTGCTTCTTTCTGTTGCACTGTCTTGATTTTTCTCACACTCAGGCCTTTTGCGGTATGGGTGGAAAGCTTTTAGGTGGAGGATGTTTTTTGGTAAAGATGGCTGAGTTTTGTCAAGCATCCAGTGGATAGCCGGCTGGTTACCTGAGAGCCCGATCCAGGTCATTACAGGTTTTGACCCAGCAGGTCCTTTCCTGGTTGGCCTGATGGCTGGGTGAGGATTGAAAAGACAGGTATATTGGATGAAAGCAAGTGTTCCCACCTTCCCAGGGTGTCCAGAGCTGCAGAGGTCTGCAAGCATGGCAAATCAACCCCACAGCCTGCTCCCAATTCTGGCAGTCCTGAGGTGTTAAGGGCCAGCTGGGCAGGCAGGCGGGCTGCTGGCTAGGCATGGTTGCCTTATAATTTGCAGGGAAGTAGAATGCCTGGCATATCCAAACCTCTTTGACATGGAATTATTCCTCTCTGCGTGGGCCTGTTTCATCCCTCCATTTCAGGCACATTTAAAAAGCTGTCATCTCAGATGGAAACTTCTGTATTCTTCAGGAAAGAAAATCCATAAATGGAAAATCAGGGCTATTTTAGAGGGCCACTTTCCTGCTCACTTCTCACAAAACTAAAATAAAATTTGAAATGACAGTGCTCTTTGAAGCATATTTTTTTAAAATGCATATTTATTTTTGTCTCCTGGATGTAAAAAGACTCAGTCTAAGTGATTAGGCATAAAATTTATATTCATTTATTTAAGGACACTCAGCTGTTACATGATTCTCTTCATCCCATAGCAGAAAGTCATCAATGCTGCATCAATACCACATGCAGAATAAGAAAAGAAATGAGACCCCAGTTTTCTCCCCTTAAAATGTAGTGCAGAATTCAGTTAGAAATTATTTTCTAATTTTTTCCCTTCTGTGGAAGTTGTCATTTCAGTTAGAGAAAAAAGTTTATGAACTGAATTTCTTTTGCATTTAGTTATACCACTAATTTCTCAAAACATAGGAAAACAGAGCAGGCCTTACTGCCAGTTCTACAGCTCCTCTAACTGTGCAATTGTAATTTAACTTCCAAGGAGTGTGGGAATCTAACTTTTTCATTAAAAGCCCACTATCACTGGTTGCTCCTTCCTCCCTCCTCCAAAAACAAGAGAAAAAAAGTCTCCATGAAGTTATAATTCTCTGTGTACCAATATCAGTATAAGAGGATTTTAAAGACACCATGATGAAGTCCAAGGCTGCTAGCTGCAATCCCCCCTTCAAACAACTGATTTTCGAAGAGGGCTAATCTTCCTTTGGTTGTAACAAAAGATGCCTTGTATGGCCAAGCTAGGAAAGTAAATACATGTCTGAAATTTCACCAAATGTGTAAATGCCAAGAGTTGATACCATTTATAAAATAGTTTGTATTTTATCCTGCTTCTGCTAATGATTTTCAAATATCTTCTGCATTCTCCCATGAGAAGTGAAAAAACCTTAATTAGATGTATTTAGCCTACCCTGTGTCTGGCTTTTACACTGTCCATGCCATGTCGTGGCTGTAACACTGTCTGCCATCCTAACTTCATAGCCTTTTGCATCTCCCTTGCAGGGAGGTATGTCAGTGGGAAAATTGCATGGAGTGAAGATGCAGAGCCCTCACTATAAAAGCAGAAAGATCAGATGCTGTCTGAAGCAAGTCGGAGAATTTTGAGGAACTGAGTCTTTTGATTCAGGTCATAAATGGCAACATGGCTGAACAGGCTTGCTATAGAAGATGTGTGGAATACCTGTTCACACACAGCTCTGTGCCTCGTGAGTTACCCCTACGTCATTTCTTTCTTACTAAGTGGAGCACTAAGCATGCTCTAATGCATCCTGTCCCTGTAAAGTGAATGGCAATGCCACTTCCAATTGCTCAGAAGCACCTTCAGGATTGCATCCTTCCGCTGATCCTTGCTGAGCAGGTAGGGAGGTCAGGTAGGCAGAGTCACCATCTGGGAATAGGTGTCTACATTTTAGATGGCACCTACCTTACAGTCTTACGGAGGGGAGTAGTTGACCTGTAAAGCTCTTCTTAAATTTGGCCAGTTTGGGAGGCATCATACAAAAGGCAGAGTCTTGGAGACAAGCCAGGTGGCCTGTATAATGTACTTTTCCCAATGTGGAGTTGAGAGAGCAACATAGTTAATATAGGCTGTGAACTGTAAACTTCTGAATATGAGAGGCCCTTTCACATTTGGGAGAACTAATTCACTCTATAGCTATGACAAGAGCCTCCTGCATAGATTACTCTGTAAAACCAGACATTGTCATCCATTTGCTTTGCTCTTTCTGTTAAGTTATATCTGTTTTTCTTACCCACTGACTGCAAAAATGATCTGTTTTTCTGTTTTACCTTTACTCTAACTCCCCCATCCAGTGAGACTGCATACAAAGTACACCATTTTTTTGATGCCACTGAATTTGCTCAATAGTACTACATCATTCAAATTTCTCCAGAGAGATGTTTGACTTTGAAGAGTGAAGTCATGGCTTTGGCTAATCACTGTTGTCCAGGGTCACTGGTGCCTTGGGAACAGCAACGTGGTAGCTGAAATGCTTAGGCCTGTTGCTTTGGGTGCAGCTTTGGGAAGGAAATACCTAGCTGTCAAGGGTTTTTATCAAAGGGTGGGAGTTACCTTCAGTTTGATTAATGTTACCTCTTTTAGCACAGATCATATATCAAAGAACTATGCAGGCATATTCACACTTGAAATTAGATGTATGAATCAAAACAAGATGAGACAAAGTTAGCATCATTCCTATAAATTGCAATAGGGCTTGTAACATGTGGGGTGAGAAGGTTGAAAATCGTATACTTTACTGATATTAGGTTTGAGCGAGCACTGCTCCAGTCCAGAAATATTACAAGACAATCATCATTAAAGGGAAAAAAAATGCAGCTGGAACATGTTGGAAACCATTACTATCTCCACATTACAAGTCACAGGAGCACGTTTCTGCACTTTGATGGATGGCAACGAGCTCCAAGAATATATACATAAGCTTTGAATATGTCTGATTTGCTGTACCTCTCAAGAAAAGAAGCAACCTATATTAATCAAAGATAATAATTCTAACCATTTCCAAGAATTTATTAAAAAAAAAAAAAAAAAAGAAAGAGTTAAACCCTCAGAGCCAAACACATGATATGCTTATTCTGGGGAGAGAGAAGTTGTCTATCATTTGGAAATCCGTCTCATATGTTGTTCACACCCTGTAGTGTTGAGTAGAAATGAGATAAACACTACAAAGAAAATAAGCTACTTCAATGCTAAGAATCCTTCTTGGAGCATACTTTAAAGTAAAAGGCTTACACCGATCACGTAAACTCCAGATGTAGCATGAAGTTCACTTCATAGTTTGATCAAAGTATGAATGATAACTTTTGAACTTTTGAAAGTGGTCAAATATGTACTGTTGAGAAAAATGTATCAAACTCATTTACTGCTATATATTGTTCCTCCCTTTACTATTTTCCTTTAAGTAGGATGCTATTTTTTTTCTGCCATTTTAAAATCTAGATACGCAAAGTCTATTTAAGGAATTAAGTGCAAAACCACAAAATTCACCCTGCATGCCAGAGAGGTACCGGATCCCTGGGATGTGAATTTGTCCTTCCCTAGCTTTGTGTTCATAAATCCATTCATCATGCCCAGATTTCCCCAACTCCACTGAGAAGCCTGGGAACAAACATACTGCTCCAAGCCAGCTGGGACCATACACAGCTGTTGACTCCACTCCTTCGGTCATATAATAGAAGTTTCTGTTGTGATTCTCACAATGGAGGAAATGACATATAATCATTTGAATTTGACAGAAATTGGATTAGTGATGTTTGTGAATGCAGTGAGCTGCGTATTTATTCAGAAAAGCATTATCCCAACCAAGCAAAAATATGTGTTTGTAAAAATATCGGTTACATTTGCTTCAAGGGAACAATGTCTCAAGGAAATTCAAGTTTGCTCAGTAACCCCAGCTTCTGGGACCTCAGTATGTTAAAGACAAAAAGCAACTACTACATTTGCTTTCCAAACAAGGATTTTTTTTTTTTTTTAATTTTGTTATCAAGCCTAACTCAGTCTACCTTGATCTTTCTGTTGTACAGAGAATGCAAGACAGCGTCAGGATGGGGTGGTGAGCAACTCCATTGTGTACTTCACCGAAGACCCCCCAGAACTGCCACCCAACAGTCCCCATCCACTGAAGCTGCGGCGTATTCTCAACCTGAGCCCTTTCACTGTCACTGACCACACGCCAATGGAGACCGTGGTAGATATTTTCCGGAAACTCGGACTCCGGCAGTGTCTTGTCACTCGCAGTGGGTGAGTAGATGCTGAGTCAAGCACGCCTAGAGAATCTCAGGAGATTTTCTTCAGCATTAACAAAAACACTGTGTTTCCTCTTTAAAGCCAAGTATAGACAGTAACTAATCAATCAGCACCTCTGAGACAGGCAAGTGAATATTTTGGGTTTGTCTATTTTGTGAATGGAAGAATAAGGGAAGCGTGCCCAGTGTCTCTCCAGGGCAGCAAAAGAAATCAGACTCAGAACCAAGACAGCCCTTGCCAGGTGTCATGTTTCATTCTGTTCTCCCAAATCCTCGGTGTATTGTTATTTAGATAAGGTAAAGATAAATACAAAATAAACCATTCTGATTCCCACTATCATTCAGTTTTCAACAGAGGCAGATCTGGCAAGTAGTACTGTTTGCAAAAGATGTTCCTGTTTCTAGACATCCAGCTAGATTAGATGCTTGTGAAGACTGTGATAAAGATATCAGTGGAAGAAAATTAATCTGTTCAGCTTTCTTTGATGGAAAATGGAAAGGCATATAAACCAAAAGTCCACAAAAAACAGCTGAAGAAGTGTGGGCAAACCTGAAATTAGAAGAGTAAAAAGCTGCACCATGTGCACTGGAAATAACATCCCATAATTCCAATGGGATTTGAGCTATTTTGGGATCATTGCTCATTCCAGGTTCCTAGTGGTAAGAAGAAACTTTACAACAGGATAGCAAAATCAGAGCCGTAATTTTCAAATGCAGAAGACTAAAATTTATTCTTCTGCAAAAAGCCTTCTTGTTATTCAAAAATACTGCATATCAACTGTTACTATCAATGCAGTGTCCTCAGCATTAAGAAAATAAGGACCATTATCAGGGCACAGATTTTAGGTGCTTGGATTTGGAAGTGTTGATCTTGAGTTCTAGCACCTAGATGAAATGAAAAGTGGAAAAAATAAAACAATGATGTAGTTTCAAAATTCAGTGCCTCGTGGCCTTCAGGGACTGGAAATAAAAGCCCTTGAATACTGAGGGTTAGGAAATTTTTGACCCTTGGGGCCAGATATCCTGTAGGCCTCATCTTTCCTGACAGATATAATTCATTTAGGATCATATAAATGAGAAATTATCACTCAGAGTTGAAGGAATTATGCTCTTGGACAGTGAGAGTTTCAGAAAATCCATGCTTTAGCTTAGTTCGTGTATTAGTAAACCCCATGCCCTAGCTCAGCACACTGGTGCCTTGGTTTTGTGCTGTTGGTCCTCTGCAGCCAGAGTCTAAAGAAACTCATTACTTCGTTGTACAAAGTGCCAGTAGTTGTAGCTCCTCACTAAGTCACATTCCCAACAAAAAGAGATAACAACACAAAGTATTTAACTTAATGATCATGGCTGGAGTAGTAAACATACACGAGGTGAGAATGCTTTTTATGAAAGATAATCATTGAGGAATGGATGGGATGGACAGTGTTATATGGAAGCACTCACAAAATACTGCTGCAGCTGAACAGGAGAAAAAAACTGCATGATATATGAGATGAATGTTGACCTTTCCTTTCCTTTTCTCCTCTAGGAGGCTGCTGGGTATCATAACTAAAAAGGATGTATTAAGACATATGGCTCAAATGGCAAACCAAGACCCTGAATCTATCATGTTTAACTAGACTGGTAAAGGAAGAAGAAAGTAACCCCAAAGGAATCCCTTCTAGATTAACACAAAGGCTATGTTCAGTGTTTCATTTTGTTTAAAGAGAAAATGTAATATGTATGAGGAATGGCTCAATATGCCTCTGACAGAGGGAGTGGATGCAGGATGGCACTTATTTAATGAGGAAGGCAGTTTAGAAGCTCTGAGCAGCTGCAGACATCAAGCTGTGTTTCCTTAATGAGATTCCCAACAGCTCAATTGGAGTGTTGGTAGGTGTAAGTGATGTGGTGCTTAGAGACAAAGAGCCAGGAGCACCAGTGGGATGCATCAAGGCAGGTGTGAAGACTAGCAGACACTGTTTACGTATAAGCTGTTAACAGAGATAAAGATTTGTGTTCCAAACTAAAGAGTGTGTATGAGTAATGTCAGTTGGTTTTGTTATTGAAATCATGGCTATTTATTTGCTACTGAATTATACCATTTTCATGAGGGAAAAAATCATCGTATTTTAAAATGAAAAATTTTGCCATCTTCATTTATTTTTGTAAAAGTTAAGTGAATCAGGACTGGAGTTAAAGGAGCAAGAACACACTTCAGCTCACTTTAAAACATAGTGTCCCCTGCTCCCTGCTTTAGTCCTTTGAATTTTATACAGTTTAGGGTTTCTGTCAATCAGCTTCCCTTTATTAATGTTGAAATGTGACTTATTTGTAAGGATTTATTATGTCTCTATGCAATTTTGCATACAGGTACTGTAATATTTAGTATTATGTGGTTTGCTGTGACAGCAGGAAAAAACATAGAAGCCCATGGAGGAATTTTTGAAGGCACTAAAGGGAGACTGGTATCCATCTCTCATCGATATTAGTGACAAGAGATTGAATCCCTCACCTGTCTCCCCTTATGTACATCATCATTTTTCAAAAACTAATGAAGTTCTGCATTGATTCCTGATTTTCCATTTAGTTCCTTTTTGTCATTGCTATTTCTTGGCATTTGTCTGTACCTGCCAAGAGATTGCTGAAGTTAATTTAACAGTCCCAGACGTTTATTCTGTAGCAGATCTACTCTTTATGCATCTGCCAGTCATAGGACTGTGGAATCCATCCACACAACACTGTGGCTGGATAAGATCAAAGGGACTGAGAATGCAAACGATTGCAAAGCTTTAATTATTGATCTGTTTGCAGCAAGAATGCAAGATTTAACAGCCCCCAGGACCTCCAAGCCACTCAGGTAAAAATGCTAAATTTTTCTAAACCCTTGTTCTGGTCTTGTGTGAGATGCACAGAATCAACATTGTCTGTGTTAATATACTAGCACTTTAGTAGTACTGCTGTCAGTAACAGAAGACCAAATTCTACTCTCAGTAACGCATAATCCACACTACCTAGTGTTGGATTTATAACTATAAGCTTAAAGATTGGAGAGAAGTTGCATCTTAACTTAGATGTCCTGAATCTCCTTCAGACCCTCTGAGAGTCTGGTCCCTTCATTTAGGCATCTAAGACCTCTGGTATTTTTGTTCAAATTCACACAGATACTGGTAGCTCAAGTCCATTGTGTCCACTTGGTCTTCATGGACAGAGATGGAGTCCTTTCATGGCAGAAGAGCTTGTTGCTTACTCCAGACAAAAGCCAGACTGTTGATCCAACTTGTAGGCAATGCACATGATTACTGTGTCCGTGAACTGACACAACTAGCCAGGTGCACCCTCAGTTAGATGCCCAAAGTTACATGTCACAAATTCCTCCTCTTATCTCCAGTGACCCTGCTTCCTTCCGGCACGTGTCCCACTGCATTCACATGAAGTATGGCCAAAATTGTTTAAGTAAAAGAAACGGAAGTAAAGGGATAATTTTAATCTGCTAAGTACTCCGTTTAACAATAGTGTTTGCAACAGACTGACATAAATATAGGTAGCTCTGGCCAAAGCCCATAAATATTTCAGTGTATACTTTTTGTTAACTGAACATCTGCAGTACAATGTATTATTAACGGGATATTGTTAAAACTATGTAAACTATAGAACTGAGCAACCCTTTCCTTCTGAAAATAGGAAATACAACATAATATTGTTGTTTCTTATGTTTTTCTGTGAAGCTGTCATCAGCCAAACTCATAAAAAAACCAACCAAGTCAACAACCAAGATCATAAACATTGGATTCCCTCATTTGGACAGAGATGCCATTATAAAATAAGATCAGTCCTTTCCCACAACTAAACCCAAGTGGGGCTTAGTACAAATGTCAGTTTCTACCCAAAACTACTAGAATCTAAGGGATTTGGACTAAGATAAGTACTTTTGAGGGCAACCATGTTCTGAAATTAAAATTGAAGGACTGTGTTCTACTTTTCACTTTTATAGCTTTTAATGTTGATACATACATGTTTGATTAACACTTTCTCCATCTTCCTTTATGTTTACCTAGGAAACAAGAGTGAGTACTCTTCCCACCTGAACACTTCTTAATATCTCTTTTGCTCATAAATCAAGAGAAATAAGTTGGGAAGTGAATCCATCTGCTATTTGAAGTCAAACTCAAAGCTTCTTGTATGTCAGGGAAAAGGAGAGGTCTAAAGCCTTCCTTTTTAAGTGAAAGAAATTTCAGTCCATGTTGCATTATAATGTAGTCCATGACAGAGCTAAGTCTGACGAAGCATTCATAGTACTAAGGGGAATGTTTGCTAACAGGAATCAGGATGGTGGATCAACACTGAAAAAAATTGTAATTTGCTGAGAAAAAGACACGGAGTCACCTAACTGAGGTTAAACTGGCCATGGATACAAACTCACTTGGGTATTGACTTGGGTTATCAGCTTAAACTCAGTCTGTGGCTATGCATCTGCATAAACTTGCACGGCTAATTCCCATTAACACCTAGAGGCCTGATCCACTAAAACTGACAGTCAGCCCTGTGATAGCTTGTCACCTTGTCTTACTAGAGTGCATATGAGGAGCCTTAAGGACTTAAGAACACAATCCATAAAACCAGCATGGTGGTTTGTAAGAAACAACAGAAGGAATTGAGATTTATGCACTTATTGCAGGTGCAGTTTGACCCTGGGCCTACCGCCAAAGCAGAAGGCAGATAAATGGGTGTTCAGCTCTTTTCTATCAAACACGTTCCTCTTTAGATGGAATGGTCTAAATATCTAAGGGGTCAAAGAAAAAAGGTTTGGATGTGTAACTATACGTGGGTGGTTGGACTGCTGCTCCTTGTTCCAATGTCTGTTCAAAATATGTTAAATGCCCTGAGAGCAGGGACTGATAACTAGCTCTCCAGAAATGGCATAGTCATAGCTACCTTCAGCTGCTTGGCATTATCAAGGCTGAGGTGATGCTAGAATGACAAGAAGGGTTTTGAAACTGGACAGACTTTGCTAATTAGAAAACTTAGCACTTCAGACACTCCCAGAGATGGGAATTGGCTGGAAGTCTTTCTCTTGAACTTCCTCCATACTACAGTCTTCATTGCTCTTGTAGCTTGAGTGGCTGAATGGGGAACACTCTTAATATAAATTAATACCATGCTTTTCTCCAAAAATGCGTTTCTGATGTAATGATTTAATGTATTTCCCCATAACAAGCCCATTATCAGTCACTGTTTTCCATCTGTATTCCCAAATACGTCTTGTCTCAGAAGTTACAGAATAGACTCCAACATAGATCTCAGCCTTAAGTATTTATTTGAATTTTTTAGAGCTCAAGATAGTCACGTAGCCTGATCAATCTGAGAGTTACGTAAGTACTTTAGTATATAGTGCTCACTTTATGCAAGCTCAGTTCAATCCTTGTGTTCAAGCAGCTGGACTTTGAAGATGTCAAACTAAACAAGAACAAAAATCTTTGGATGATGCAAGTTCAGTATTGTACTTTGTTTTGCATGAACTGTATTCAGTTACATTCAATTTCCGATGTGTACTTGAAACAATCTGTACCAGAAAGTTTATTATTAAAGTACAGAACATGGATGACATTAGCCAGACCCTTTGGCTGTCACAGTGATACTAATTATTAATTCTTATGCTTTGATGGAACAGAAAAAGAATGTTTAAGAATTACAGGAGACCCACTGATTCTGTGTTGGAAAGACACTATAATTATGAATATTGTTTTGTTTTGGTTTTGGTTTGGGTTTTTTTTTTTTTTAATTGTAGAAACCAGTATATATGTTGCACCTTATAAAAACAATGTTTGGACTCTATTTTTAAAATAAAACAACTGACTTACAGTACTGGAAACATTTCTTGAACATCTTATTAATTGGAGAAGTATTCAACTTAATGTCTCTGTATGATTTTGATGTTTCCTTTTCCCACCTATAGGGATAACTCAAGCCTGCTGGATCATTTAGGATATCTAATTCAGTTATGGATTAGCTAATATTAAGTAGGGAGTTAGTAAAGTTCACGCAGTGGACTTCAAAGAATCAGCCTTGACTGTTGGCTGTTTTATTTTCAGAGAGAAATGTTTTTTCCTTCAGCATCATAAATCCTTTATTAAAGAAATCTAAAAAGAGAAGAAAAAAGATTTCTCCTACCAAGTTATTCTGCTTACAATCATGAAACTTCTTTAAAGCTAGATGTTGCAAAGCCCTTATGATTCCAGGTTTTGTATATAGTTTTCCTTTGCGCTTTAATTCAGAGCTAAGCTCAAAGACTGAAAATGGCAGGTTCGATCATGCCCATTTAATGGGATGAAACATCCCTTAAATCTCTGTCACAGGCTAACTTTTAGGTAGTAGCAAAGAATATGGGCTTCATCCTGCTTAATGTGCTCACCAAGCAGGCAGAAAGGCACTATGGCTTTGTGCAAATGAAACATTAATCAATGGTTTATCCAAAAGAAGCATTACAGATTTCAAGGCGTGCTCCAGAGAACAAGTTTGATAAAATCGATATATCAGCAATATCCTAGTTTAAGTTAAATTACTCATTTCAGAAGCTGGTGCTGGAGTCCCAGGGCCTCCAGCTTCTTCCATGGATTGCTGCAGCCCTAACATGGCCCAA